ACGGCCCTCCTAACACAAACCTAACCCCCCCAAATTACACCAACATCCCTAAACCTTTTCAAAATTACATATATGACCCCTAGAGTTTCTGAAATTATACTTTCACCCCTTAATTTTTTGAAATTACAATTTTTACCCCCAAAGTTTCTGAAATTTCAGTTTGGCCCGAAAGCTTTCAAAAATTACAATTTAACCCCAGATTTTTTTAAAAAAATTCCTAAAACTTTTTCTATTAAGATGGTTTCTAACCCCGAATTAAATACTAAAGTAGAGACTTTATCCCAAACACAAATTGATTCACAAAAGGCCATGAATGAGAGGATGGATTCACTAGAGGCGTCTATAACATCACTAAAGGAGATCATGGAAGCTTATCTCTTAGATAAAAAGGGCAAAGGAGTGGAGATGCATGTAAATCATAATTCCTCCTCATCGGCTATCAATCAAAAACCAATGCTCGCACAAGTCCCTCACCACAAGGCCCAGTTTGAGAAGACTCAAGATTGTTTGATTTTGATAAAGGGGTTAAACTAGAGGTTGGAGATTTTCACGGGGACAATAATCCCGAGATATTCCTTGATTGGTTGCATAGCATTGAAAGCTTTTTCAGATGGTACGTTTGACCGATGAGAGGAAGATATTCTTTGCAGAATTAAAATTGAAGGGTATAGCAAGACTTTGGTGGGTAAAGTACCAACAAATTCACTTTGATAGATCATGGGATGATATGAAGTCTGCTATGACCCGCTACTTTGTGCCTACTAATTATAAGCAACGAGCTCATCTATAGTTTACACAATTGAATTGATTATGTCTGTGGAGGAGTACACAAGAAAGTTCTATAGCTTAGCCACCCGGTCAAGTTCCATGGATTAAGGATGTAATGATTGCCATGTACAGACAAGGTCTCAATTCACAAATTTCTACGGGTTTAGCTGCAAGTAGACTTTACACCATGGCAGATGCAGTTCAGGTTGCTTATCAGATGGAAGATGAGTTAAAAACGAGATCTTATATGAGATTTTCTATGGCATCTCCAACCCGGATCGAGAGAACTGTTGTAGATGCAAATCAAGGTAAGTCCACTAATAAACCCCAAGAGAATACTTTTACTCAATGTTATTAGAACTGGATTGGCCATCGAACTGGTAAGGGGACCGGGTCAATAGTTCACTGGTTTAACCGTTGGGTCAACTGGTCGAACTGGTTATATATTAAAAAGTCTAATAATTTAGCAAAAAAATATGAAATATATTCACAATGTATATAATTTATCCATAAAATTAATGAAATTAAATATTAAGCAGATTAAAAATGAGACAGAACAAAGTATTTTCAAGTATCAAAACCCAAAAACCAAAAACCGTCCTTTTTCTGTTGCCTTCAGTGCCATTATTGCGATTTGCTCATCATTTTAATGGCGTGAGCATACCCAGTTACAGACCCGTATGTCTACACCCAAAAATCATCAATATCAAGACCCATTTGTCTTGCTCTTCACTCTTCCTCATCTTCATCCCCAAAACCCAAAAACCAAATCAAACACATACATTATGAAATCCCAGTACAAAAAAAAAAGTATCGAAGAATACTGCCTTCTTTGGAAAAATTACATTTTCAAGTATTAGACGACTCCTCTGACAGAGACTCTCCCCTCTTCTTCTCAGTCGATTGATCCCTAGCGNTGGGGTTGTCGTATGAGTTATGGGTGAGTGGTGGGTACACTGGGTAGTCGCCTGAGCTGTGAAGGCGATTTAGGGCAAATGCCCCATAAAAAAGTCATTTTTTTATATGGAGTCCTTGAATTCAAACCGTCCGGTTTGACCAAAACAGCCTGGTTCACGGGTTTGGTCTAAAATCGACCGATTTAACGATTTTTTGGCAGTTTACTTCCTTGCGCGGTTTGACTACAAAACTAAACCGTTTTAGGTCTCGGTTAAAGGTTCAACCGGTCGAACCAGTCTGTCTGGTCCGGTTTTAATAACACTGCTTTTACTCCAAACAATCATCTCGGGCTAGTGCTAATTCTTCTTCTCAAGGGAGTACTAATTTTAAGACAAGATGTTTTAATTGTCTTGGTTTTGACCATCTCTTTTTTCAATGCCCTTCAAAATCTGTTGCTGTGGTTGAAAAGGAAGATTCTAAGGTGCATAATGATTCTGATGAGCCAAAATTTGAAACAGAGATTGTAGAACCTCTTGATGTGGGTGAGGTTAGTTTTGATGATTTGGGTGATAATCATTTTATGGGTGTTTTCCGTCCTCTACTTATTGCTAATAAAGAAGTTGCTAATGGTGAGTTTATGCATCGAGGAAAAATCTTTCAGACAATAGTTTATTGTAAAGGACAGATATGTTCGTTAGTGATTGACACGGAAAATTGCACAAATGTGGTATCAGAAGAGGTCGTGAAGAAGCTAAATTTAAAAGTTGAACCACATCCGGAACCATATCATATAGCATGAATTATTAATACGAAGCTGAAAGTTGATAAGAGATGTCTAGTTACATTCACCATTGGAAGTCTTAAGGAGACCGTCATGTGTGATGTATTGCCTCTCAAACTTTGTCATATACTTTAGGGCGCATTTGGATATGGGATCGTGATGCACAACATGTGGGGCGTGCTTGGAAGAAAGAAGTATACTCTTACTTGTGCTACAGATGCGCGTACACTACAATTGAATAAGAGTTCGTTGTTGATTCAGAGAGCTTCTCTATTAGATGGTATTCTTGGCCCTTCTCCTTACTCGCCGGAGTCGAGTTCTTTTCAACGGGGGAGAATTGATGGCACAGCCATTGGTTGGTTGGACCAATACAATCGACTTTGGAAGCCTAGGCGAAAGACTAGGAATTTTTGGTCCAAAGGGAAGTGTAATTGGTAGTTTATTACTATTATTTGATTTATGAGTATTTGTTTGACTAGGAGTATTAATTAGAATTTAACTAGGAAATTATTATAGAGGTTTAGTAGGATAGAGATTTGAGAGTTTGATTATGAAACTCTTTTAGTATTCTAGTAGGAAAGTAATTTTTATTTTAGTAGGGGATTTGACCTATAAATAATTGTGTAATCCTAATTATTTTTAATTAGAGAGAGTGATAAAATAAAAAGTGGTTCTCCGTAGAGAATTTATGTGTTTCTTCACCGATTCCTTGCGAGGATGAGGTAAACCCCTTCCACTCCCTCTTCTTTCTTCTTCTCTTTATATTTTGTGATTTTTAGTCCTTCCCGTTCTGCATCACCCTCTTCTCAGGTAGACAGGAGCACACTTTTTCTCAACCTTTCTCCTTAAGACTGTTTGAATTTAAGATAGACTAGTTAATGGGTGTCTCACTTGGACATAAGCTCTCAATAACTGCTCCTAAATAACATACTTCATTTTTTTTTAATAGAGACACGCACGATCTGAAAAGTTACTGCATGAAGGGAGGCTTAAAGTCATGCTCGGAAATGATGGGAAAGTTGAGGGAGAGACCCATCTAGAGAAGCAAGCTCAAACTGTAGCTACTGCACAGGTTTGCTCATTCGCTGTTGAGATGCCTACTATGTTTGAGTAGTTTTAAGGCCTGATGTGTCTATGACTGAACTAATATATCTTTATGACTGCATTAGTCTTACCAGAAGACATCTAATTCAAGGAGGAATCACAAAAAGTGGCAGAAACCGAGGAAGAGGTCAAAGAACGAGGTAATATATCAAGCTTACATGGTGATTGCAGATCTTTCTTGTACAAGATCATGTGAAGTCAAAATTATTATTTCATTTGAACTGCAGAAAATGGGCCCAGCCAAGAAGAGCCGCAGAAGCGACAATTAAAGAGTGATAGTCGTGCTGTTCTCTCTCATTCGATCGAGAATTTAGAGTTTCTTTTTTGAATGAGCGAGCAATGAAACTGCCATGGTTTGTTCATTTCTCTGAAGTTACAAGGCTGAGGATATACTTCTAGTTGTTTTTGCTGCTATGTTCAAATAGATAACCTGAAACATTGCTTTGGTTATTTGGTCATGTTTGTTTGTTTCTCTTATTTTTGCTAGGCATGTGTGAAGAGATGATTTGTAATTTAAATCTCTGCTCAATATTTAGGGATCATTGGTTTTGGGGGAACTTGATATTAGGATTTTTGTAGTTCACGAAATTTGAGACCATGTGTTAATTGAGATGAGCTACTCAGGTTGGGCTCTGTTCGGATAGGACTTGACTCAAGTTTGACTTGTGTTCTAAAAAAGTTGAGTTTGAACAATTTTTTAGACTTGTTTAAAAAAACGAGCTTATAAGGTTCTGCTCGAGCTTGTAAAGTTTAGTTTGTTTATATATAAAATACTCAAGTTACTCGGACTCGAGCTCAGTTCATTTTTTAAGCAAGCCAAGTTTGAATAATTTTTTAGGCCCGTTTAAAAAAAATGAGTTCAACAAGTTTGGGGTCAAGCTTGTAAAATTTGGTTCAATTAATACTCCTATTTGAGGCCGTGGGCTCTAAACTTGAATTTCAATTTCAAATTGAATTAAAATCTGATCTGTATAAGCATTTATTTGTGTAAGAGACTCGATAAAAATACTCGATTCAGATATTGTTGAACTCTACATAGAGATTAGAAACATGTATTCTAATATTTCAATTTATTAGTAATCAATCACTGGATGTGCTGCCAGTGTATCATAGCAAATAAAAGACATACTTTTCCCACCAAGGATGATTTTGAACAACTTAGCCCAGGTCTCTCCTTGCCCTCTCACGTAGCTCCTAGTTGTTCAGAATCAGCTTTAGGATTATCGAGCTTGATTACTGCACATGAATGCAACAGCTACGTCCTGTTCCTTACTCCCATGTGAAAAATTCTTAACTGTCATGAGCCATTCTTTGCAACAGGCTTTTTCTATTACGTGATCGAGGAAAAGTCAAAGTATAAGCCGTCTGGTGTCGTGTAGAAAGATTATTTTAATAACTTGAACTTATAATGTTTAGGTTGTAAAACAACTTTACCCTTGGCTTGTCTACCATGAAACGGGTTTCTACTCCAATAAAACTGCACTTTATTGGCTCCAGGAATGTTTCCAAATTATACAACATCACCTGAAAAATAAACCAGCTACAGCTTGCAAGAACACACATGCACTGACAATATCCGAGAAGTAAAATGAAATGATTGTCTATTCTGGTCTGAAGGAAAGAGCAGGGCAAGAAATTGGTTGCAGAACAGTGGCAAGAGTTTATGGTGAAGAAAGAGACTGTTCGAGCGCCATTGAAGAACATAGTTTGTTTATGAGCAATGAATCCATAAAACAACAGTGGTCTGCGGTCTGTGTTAGCTTCAGTTCTGGCAATGGACCTTCAACAGTGTTACATATGGCTTCAATTTTAGCATCTCCAAAGTGCCGTTTAACTGCTGATTATTGCATCTTGGCGTGAAGCTCCCCGACTTACTTCTCACCAACAGATCATTTGATGGCATTATGATGAAAGCTTGAGCAGGGCAAAAGGGGGTTCTTAGTTGACTCTAGAAACACAAAATTGCAAGAAACTCCTGTTGGCATTCCACAAAATCACGAGTTTTTCTTTTCACAAGGCTAACATTCTGATGGTAAACTCTGAGGAATACTCCAAAACCGCAAATTGTAGCTCTAACATTATGTTACAATATCTGAAGTCCAATCTAGCGTCAAAATCAAAATGACAAACCAGCCCCAGTACGTCTATCATCCAGAATATCTGCATGGACTGTATGAAAAGCTAAAAAATGGTTCCGTGGTCAAGATTCTTTGAAATTCCAACATTGACGTGACCTAGAAAAAGGTTGCTATATATCTACTGGGAAGTTAAGTGACATCACTGACTTTTAAGGTCCTTCATCTTCTGAAAGATGATCAGTTGAAGAAATCAGCTGCTCTTCATGTCCATCTACTTCAGCTGGATGATCAGCTGGAGCTGGGGGGCCTTGTTCTCCACTTTCACTGTTTTCAGGGTGAAAATTGATGGGGAACTTTGTGACCCTAGGTTTATCAGTTAATATGTTTCTTTGGACCCTATCAATCAAGACCTTTTGGGGAGGTTCCTCTCTTAGCTGCTCATCATCATAATCATTGTTGACATAATAGCCCACTCGGACAAATTCCTGACCCAGATAAGAGCAGGTCAACAAGAGCACTGTTACACCAATTAAATCTTCTTCACGGATTTTTGAGGGATCTGGAGGGTCTGCCTGGTAGAATGCTCAACAAAACCAAAATAAGTAAGAATTTATGCCACAAATAATCAAACTATTAAATCACATCAAACCATGGGCTAAGAAGTTGACAAGGTTACCTGCAAGACAAAACGATAGTTTCCAACATTGACAGGCCCTACAAGAACACTTTCTAAAAGTTGATCATAAGTTTCATCTTCAGCAGATCCAACATAGATGAGTTTCCATTCCAAGTCTGCATAAATAGCATAATGGTTACAAGCTGGGGACTAAATATTTGTTTACGTTAAAAACTTAGCATATATTGAATGAGGAAATGAATTAGTCTGGGGAAAAAAAGAAAATAAAGAGTTGTTCCTTTATAAAGTGAACACCAAAAAAAAAAAAAAAAAAAGAAACAATTTGTGGAGCAATAAATTTTAACCATACAATTGATACAAACACTCTTAGGTGCCTTGGCAGTCTCTCATTCTTAATGCTTCCAGGGAGTGGAAAGGTAAGTATTTTCCAGCTGAATGGGTATGGGATGGATGGGGTTGTCCAATCCGGTCAATCCTAATACCTAATCCAAACACACCCTAAATGTGAAAATTCTGAAGCTAAGCCTAGCTGCTACTGTTTATACAGTTTTGGAGGAAGAGAAATGCTGCTGCAACTATTCTGAAGGGGATCTTAATGTGGGAAGGAATAGATTGATCACTCTTGAGGTTAAGGATTCTGCCCACAAATATGTCACTTCAAATGTGGCATCTATCTCCTGCTAGCAGATTAGCTGATGCTTGGAAGTTACTTTCCTTGTACATTTTATGAGCTCAATCAGTCATTCTACAGAAGTACTAGCCAAGCAACCACTGCTCCTACCAGATTGTCTCTTTTGCTGTTTTTTGAGCACCCTGCCTGGTGCTGTAATTGGATTTTAACTTTTGCATGGCATATCAAGATAACGTTTACTTACACAAAAAAAAACACTTAGATAGTTTTTGTGAAAAGACCTGTTAGATCATTATGAGTCGTCGCATAAACAACAAAAAAATTGGCACCCCTTGCTTATTCCTATGTTTGTTCAAAAGTATAGGGTCCTGAACAATATATGGTGGGAACATATGGGATCTTGTTAGATAATTAAATGACGATAATCAAGAATTCTCGCAGGTCCAACCTTCAACTTCCAAAATACCCAAAGAACACAATTTCACTGTTTTTGGTATCAACTTCAGGTTAGGGTCCAGTCCAGTGCCCTTTTGGTGCGCAGTGGAGGGGTTCAACATGTACGCCTCATGTATGTTCTATGATCAGAAAAAATAGGTTGCTTATGCATGTGACAGAATTATACAATACACTATACCATAAAGATAAATGTTAGGTAGAGAAAGACCAAAATTAACTTTAAATAAAATACCAAAGAAGATAAGATAACTCATGGTTGACCTCAAAATATTGGGACAAGGTTTTGTTGAGTTGAGTTTAAGAACATAACAAAGGTAATAATAATACATCATGGAAGTATAGAAGATATGTCAACATGATGCAGATTCTAAATTAAGGTGTGGTCATCCTCAGAAAACTCAACTGCAATAGACTGGTCAAACTTGGCCATAACTAACTAACCCTCAATAAATTCACTCAGTTAGCAAATTGATGACATCAAAATCTAGTTGCTTACAACAATGTCAAGAGTTTTTATTCCTTTCCCACATTTTCAATTTGAAAAGAAAATAACAAGCCATGAATGGCTTTCCATCGCAGTTCTCTGTACACAAGTACATACTGGTTATGTAGGTTCTCCTAATCTGCAAGAAAGGCGGGAAACAATGCAGAAAAGCTTACAGTCTCTTGTGGCTACTGCTGCAAATTCACTACTTTCTACTTGGTAACCTAACAAAACGACCACCATCCCATCTGTGAACAAACTATATGAAATTAAATCGAAAAACCAAAATTCTTCATGTTTGATTATATGCTCTTGTTGCTGTAATGGATTATGCGCACTTTGTAATTAATCAAATAACGAAACATGTAGTACCAGACCATCGAAATTTATCATAAACCTCACCATTTTTGCTAAATATCAACCATAGAATAGTGGTCAAACTTGAAATTACAAAGCCCTAACTCAGTCAAGAGCATTAAAATTCAAAGAAAATGATAGCAAAGAGAGGGTACCGTCATTAAGAGGAGTGACACACTCGTACGAGATTTCGAACTGGAAAGGGGCCAGAAACGACGCTGGATTGTCGAGGACCGCCACGTTCGTAATGTTCACTGCACTCATTGTACCAAACCTAAAGAAAACTCTGTATTGGACTCGTTCATGTAAGGTTCGATCCAAACATTAGGCTTCGAACCCTTCATCGAACTCTGGAAACCCAAGAAGCAAGAATCGAAGATTACACAGAAGAAGAAGATTAAGAAGAAATAAGCAAAAGAGGTACTTGAATTGTGATCGTAGACGAAGGAACAAAATATTTTGTTAGAGCTATGGAAATGTTGCTTGTAATTTGTCTCCTCTGTATTTATAGTGGTGACCGGCTGTTTCGTGCTAACCGGAAATAGCCGGTTTTCAATTTGGCGGGAGTTTTTCTTGTGTCTTTTTGGTCGGTACGACAACGGACCAAACAAACAGGCAATAACCAATAGGCGTGTTACTGTACACAAAAAAAAAAAATTTGCGTACCATAAAAATTGATAGTTGTTTTTATCAATTTTTGTAATAAATTTTTTTATTATAAAATAATTCACAAATTTTTTAAAAATACTCATTAAAGTAATAAATTTTGAAAGTATAATATTTAAATTTTTTGAATAACGCAATCAAGTGCTAACCAATAATAAGATTCTATTACCAAAATATTGTCATTTTTGAACAAAAATACCAATTTTATCACACTTTTCAACTTATCTATTGATCTACAGTAATTTTTGAAAGTATAATCAACAAGAACGCTTTTAATACTTATAAAAATATCTTTTTTTTTTTTTGTTGTTGTATCACTTGTTAAAAGCAAAATTGTTGATTCCATTTTCATGTTAAATTGTGATGAAAGCAAAATCAAGAATTCCGCTTTCATGTTGAAAGCGGAATCAACAATTCTGTTTTTAGAAACTACAGTAAATCAATAAATAAGTTTAAAAGTATAATAAATTAATATTTTCTTTTGAAATGGACCGTATTTTGGTAATAAATTCCTAATAATAGTTGGTTCAACTAAAGTACTAAGAACTAACTTTTGGTACCATGTCTTTTTAAAATTTTTTACCATAAATTTTTTTTATTTTTTTATTTTAGTTTAATTTATTATTTTTATAACTAATGGTTAAGAATAGGTCAAAAGAAGATCAAAGATGCAAAATTATTTTGAGGAATGATACCCAAAAAAATCTTTTGGTATCATAGTGCTATCCAATAATATTATATATATTTTATTGAACTAATTTATCGACTTAATTCTTCATAATTATTGAATTAAGGGTCCTAACTAATATTGAAGTGCACAGCTAAATTATTAACTCAATGACAATGGTACTCATCATCTTTGATATTTTCATGTTTTTGTCAAAAAAGAGATACAGATAGATACTTTGTTCCTCAGGGTTCAATGGGCGGCTTGCTGTCTACTTGCCCTTGCAAACCACCCTCTCCCTCACCCCCCCCCCCCCCCCCCCCCCCCCCCCCCCCCCCCCCCACACACACACAACAGGGTCCTGCAGGCGCGGCAAAAGGACAAACCTAACTGCCCTTGAGAAGCTATACCTATGGCTTCTCAAAAAAGGTATCTACGGGCAAAATCCCAGAACTTACATATCAATTTCCAACGCTCACATCCATCTTTCGAGTTTGGGAATGAAACATTTCAGCTATGTCTGTCGCTGCGCTACATTCTTCTGGCTTTCTAGCTGAGACAGAACAAATGAATCGAGGAAATCGGATTGAGATGCCACGAGATGGATGAACTAAACCAATGGCAGCATGGTGAACTGGTGACACCGTAAAGTCTGCACCCCTTATCGCCCAGACAAGTTCTGGAGAAAACCACATGTCGGGTACCTCGCCAGTTTGATAGTATGGTGGCTTTTTGGCCAGGATCCTGTCCCCCGAGAAAAACTCTTTCATCTGCAAAATCAATCAAAAAACTTTTTGTTACTCTACTGATAAACTAAGGTCTACCAGCATGCCAGAACTGTTTAACCTTCTATCTGTTGTGCTAAGATTTGCAATTTTAGATTGCAAAAGCTATAATCTGAGCTAAGCTAAAAGAAAATATTGTGCAAGCATTTATAAAAGGAAGGTATTGTCACAATAATAAGGCTTGTTATGCCACAATTAGGCCCCCAGACAGTCGGCTATAAGATGATTTGGAAAAAACAAAAAGAATATGATATGGACAGTAGATGGTGCCTCCAAGAATGGAAGTGTACACTGCTATAATATTTAAAAATACAAAATTCTTCACCAGGAACGTACAAAGCTAGTCAGGCCAGGACAAGAAAGTACAAGGAACATGTAATCTAAGTTTACCTTTTCCTGAACTAAGCAACAAGGAAGTGCTACCTGTATCCACATGTCATTTAAAATTTGTAACGAGATACAGTTGCATAGAAAAGTAACTTTGAACCAACAGCAGGACAGGATATAGTCAGTCCCAACTATTTCCTTTTACCAATTACCACGAAGAAAGCCAGCAAGACATTACTAAGCATATATGAACCAACCAAAGAGAAGCTTTACAAAGTTCTCATCTTCATTCTCATGAGCCATGAGTCATCTATTGCGAAGGAGTTTGAATTGGACATACAAAGGATCATTGCTGAGTCGCAAGAAGGGCTGTTATATATCTCATTCGCTTTTTGAGGACGACCAGGGCCGGTCCTAAGCCAAGGCCACTTAGATTGCTGCCTCGACCTCACAGATTTTAATCTATTTTTAGGGCCCCAAGAACCCAGACTACAGCCCAATGTAGACCTCTGTAATTCGGATGAGATGCCACAATAACAGACCTAAAATGTGAAAACTATTAGCATAGAAAGTCTATTGGGATTTAGATGAAGGCCCACTTGAAATGGTGGACCAAGAACACTATGTAGTTTACCTTGAATGGTTGACAGCCTCCTCAGTTTGTTTTAAAGGTAAACAAGGAACTATGAATGCTAACATTCAAGAACAACACCCCCCACCCCCCCTTCCCTCCCCCCCAAAAAAAAAAGAAAAGAAAAAAGGAGAGGTGGGGGGAGGGGGGGCTGTCTTCCCTTCCAAAATTCTATTCTAACTGTCATAAACACAAAACAAGACCACCTAAAATTCTGTGCTCAAATGCTATATCATATTGTTCATAAACTTTATATTTGAATTTAATTTGATCTTAACAAATCCAGTAATTATAATGGTTCATTTGCAGATATTTTTCAATGGCATCTACTCTTTTTTTTTTTGGGTCAGGAATAGCTTCTACTAAAAAACATGAATCTAAACATGGAAAATTTATATATACACATATAGAGAGAAATACACAAATATGTATAAAAAAATTAGTAGCATATAAAATATCATAGTCTTACAAATATAAACTAAAACTTCAGTTGAACAAACTTTTATAAAAAGATAAGATTATTTTTCAAATACATGTATTGCTTATATAATAGTATTATTAACAATAGTGGTAGTAGTTTTCCCTACATAAAGATGCTTTCTTGAACTTAATTTGATGAAATCTTCTTTACAATCGACTTACGACTGTCACAGAAAAATTGAATGGATCCGCCATATTATATATTAAGAATGATATATTACAGAAAACTTGAACATTAGTAGTTTTATAACTCAAAAAGACAAAAAAAGAAAAAAAAATGAAATAATACATTTTAAATGTTTGATAACTAGTTAATATCATTAATATTCATATATTTATATTAATAGGGCCTCGTCAAATAATACTGCCTCAGGCACCAATTATTGTTGGGCAGCCCTTGAGGATGACGTTATCCTCAGATGCCTCAATGCATGTTGTTATGCCTAAAGCAGTATCCAGTCTTATAGTGAACTGAAGCAATGGTTACTTTGTTCTAGTTCAGAAGGCGGAGAAAATGAAAACACGAAAGATAATGTCTGTGGCAAGATTAGTGATCTTCCCATTCCATACTTGGGGCTCCTTCTTGAAGGCTAAGGTTGTCTTGGATGGATGGGCACAAATATCCAAGAGAAGGGTGGCTGCTCACAGGGGCGGAGCCAGAGTTCATTTCCAGTGGGGCAATAATCAAGTTGAGGGGAACAATCGAAGAACAATCATCAAAATTTATTGTGTCTTAGAAATATAAGTGTTTTGCCAGTTACACTATTTATAAAGTAATTCTTCATGATAATTTTTTGCTTTGTTGTTTTAAAATTTTTCACGCATAAATTACACTTGAAAAGATAGAACTAATTAAGAAAAGTTATATGAAAGTTATGTTATAGAAAGTACTAGTATTAGAATAATTTTCACATTGAAGATGACAAATCATTCCAAAAACAAGCTATAAATAGACATATCAACCATCAAATCTTAAGTGATTCAAATCCAAGTTTAATTTGAAAACTCCATTTTGAATATGATTCGAGTATCCATCAGATATGTCTTTACAATTCATATCCATATCTATTAAATATTAAAATTTTTGATATAAGACTAAATCTTTTATATACACGTGTGCATGTGTTTTTATAAATCAAAACGATTCACAATCTGGTCAAATTTTGGTATATTTAAATCTAAATTCTTGAACTATAATAGCATATTCAAACTTAGATAATCAATTAAATATATCAATCCATATCTAGATAACCGAATTTAGAGGAGGATGAGTTTGGTAACTTAGTGTGTCATTATAGAAAGACAAGAAATAGCTGGAGACGAAAGAAAGTCTCATGAACTTTAAAAAAATTTAGTGGGGGCAAGTATTTAAAAATTTTAATTTTCTTGTAATTTTAAACTAGCCCAAAAAATTTTCAAAAATCTCAGTGGGGGCAATTGCCCACTGCCCCCCACCCCCTCCCTTTGCCGCTGGCTGTTCACATCTCTGAATGCCAGGGGAAAGACTAATTTCATCAAACACACTCTCCGGAGTGTTGCAAGTTGATTTATATTGCTATTTACAATCCCAGGTTTAAATGATGGAAAAAAAAAGCATAGTTTAGATTCTTGGGGTGAGTTGGAAGAAGAATCAAAGACCACATGATGTAGTTGGATATGGTGGTTTTCTGTAGAAGAGATCGGGGATGGGGTAGGAACGTGATATCTTCCCATTTTTGTATTTCTGGGGAATACAAAAATTTGCAGTAGAGATAGGCATGGGGTCAAAGGAGGCTGCACAGGGAGATAAATGACAGATAAGGAAGGGTGGTCTACGGGTATGGGTAGAGGCAAGAAATCTGTGTTTGTGAAATGGTACATATTTAAAAATGATGCAAGTACTTTAATATGGACGTCCTAGAGGATATTTTTAAGCATATACATATGGGCCATCATGCTAAGCAATATCACAAATCATCTTTGACACAACATTTTCACTTTAGCCAATTACTGATGGACCAATAATCATGTCATAAATACAAAGAGATTCATTATGCTAATATCAAAAAGTTAAGGCCCCACTAACTTATAGAACAGGTCTCCTTGATCAAATAAGGAAATGGAAGGGGCTGAAAAATTCAGGGGTTGGGGTGGGGGGAATGGAAAGACATGGGAAGCCCTATATTGGCTTGCCCCTGCTGACATGAAGCATCCATCGTTTACTTTCTGAAAAAATTATAGAGAAGTGTGAGAATATTTTATAGCATTGGCGATGAGCTTTACTTCATTCGGAATCTGACATCAGCAACTCAACAAAATGACTAGCAGTTCTTAAAATAAACAACACTTTAATGTACCTCTATGTAGAAGGAATCTGAGAACCCAGACATGAGACGACATAAATTACTAAAAATGAAAAACTACAGCAGAACTCAACATTTACTTCCTGAAAAAATTATAGCATATCAAGAGAAGCGAGAGAATATTTTCTAGCACTGGTGATGAACTTTACTTCATTTGGAATCTGACATCAGCAACTCAACAAAATGACTAGCAGTTCTTAAAATAAACAAACTTTAATGTACCTCTATGTAGAAGGAATCTGAGAACCCAGACATGACACGACAGACGCTCTGGAAATCTTCAGTGTCAGGGTTGTAGCATGCCATGAGGAAAGGACTGTACCTGCCGCATAACACATCTAATTGTAAGAGAAACACGAGGAAAGAACATGAAGACACACTTGTTTCTTGCTTCAGAAGTATCTGAACCTGCACGTTATATGCTTGTAAACTGACTATAGAAGCTTAAACATTTCTCGAAAACATGAGAATTCTTATGAAGCACTTTTTTTTTTTAATCTAGACTAGCCTAAAAAACTGCAACATTCGGCCACAAAATGATGTTCACACCCAAATGGGAAAGATTGATGACATTTATCTTCGAAACCATCTTCTTAAAGCCAGTAGTTAGAAGAGCGGAAAGGAAAGAAGAACCAAAGGATATTAGTTATTACCATCCTGCTTTTCTTCCATTTCCATGCCAAGCACCAATGGCAACTAAATCCAGGGAATCATTCAATCCTTCCACATAATCACGCTTAACCTGCAAGGAGAACAACATTCAATCAACTTTTATACTTATAAAGTTCAATAGTCTCACGGTGATTTCAACATTCAATATTTTTTGGTCATAAGATGCACCTTTAACCAAGTATCAGAACGCTTTGATGGAGTATATCCAGCGTCAACATCAAGTGATTTCACCATTATTCCTTCACACGAGGAACGGAATGCATCATCAAGAAAACAGCTCATCTTAGTCAATGTGGCCTCACTGGTCGAACAAGCATCATCTGTTTCCACCTAAAAGAGTAGGGTGAATTATTGACATCACCAACTGAAAACATTGATTACGAGAGAGAGGAGAATGAAAAGAGAGAATATCATTACAGCTTAATAGTCTCTTACAACTCAGGATAAAAGATGCATAATAGAAATCCTTTATAGTAGGGCAAAACAAATAAAGGACCAAAGGACTAAACTACCCCTAATACTAAAATACTCTAAT